TGCCTCATTTGAATAGCTTCTCCTCAATAAAAGGGGTCAGCACGTGCGCTCTCTCTCTCTCTCTTCCTGCGGACCCTTAAGGTCAGAGGAGCCGTCACAGCGACCCTAAAGAAAAAGGTATTTGTGTCTCTTGTGTGGTTATTTTGCACAGCCCAGTTAGCCCACTTCAACTGGAGTGACCCCTGAGCCTTTTAGTCACGAGAACAGAAACCCGGCATAATAAAACATACTGAAAGAAATCAGAGGAGGAAATATCACCTAATCTACAGAAAAGAAACAATAAGAAGTATACCTGATGCCTCCTCAGAAACCAAGAAGATGACAATGAACTGAAATATTTAAAGTGTTCAAACAGAAAAAAAAAACAGCCTATAGATTCTGCACCCTGTGAATTAATCTTCTTAAAAGTGAAAGAAAATTAAAGACTTTCCAACAAATATCGAGACAAAAATTGAAACAAAATTGAGAGAGAATTGTGGCCAGTAGAACTGCTTGGAAAGAATAGCAAAAGAAGTTCTTTAGAAAAAAGGAAATGATACAGATCAGGCACAGATGTACATAAAGATAGGAAGACCATTAGAGAAGCAACAAGGGAAGGTAAAAATAATCATCTTAATTTTTCTAATTCTTACGGGATCTAATGGATTAATTTGATCAAAATAATAGTAGCAACAACGTGTTTGATTGTGTGCATAAATGTATGGCTCATGTGTAAGTGGAATGAATGAAAGAAGATACAAGCAACAGGATGGAGGGATATTTTTTATAAGGTGTTTTCACTGCCCATGACACAGTTATTTGAATGTGGATATGGATTAGTTGAAAATGTATGTTGCAAACTCAGGGAGAACCACCAAAAAAAAAAGGTAAAAGTGAAAAAAAGGAGGAAGAGGAGGAAATAAAGCATAGCTTAAGGGAAAAAATAAAATTAAAAATGCTCAATTAAAACCAAAACGGGGCCAGGCATGGTGGTGTACACATGTAATCCCAGCAGCTCTGGAGGCTGAGACAGGAGAAACGTGAGTTCAAAGCCAGCCTCAGAAAAAGTGAGGTGCTAAGTAATTCAGTGAAATCCTGACTCTAAATAAAATACAAAATAGGGCTGGGGATATGGCTCAGTGGTTGAGTGCTCCTGAGTTCAATCTCTGGTACCCACCCCACCCCCCACCCCCCAAAAAAAGGAGGGATTGCTAAGGATTCCTTTGGCTATTCTTTATTTTAAAAAAAATAGTGGACAATAAAACAGGAACAAAGACCAATGGCAATGAATAGAAAACTGTAACAAATATTATAAATATAAATACAAATAAATATCAGCAGACCAGACTTAGAGCAAGCACACTTATCAAAGAGAAAAAGGGCCTTATAATAATAAGGAGATAAGTCTCCATGAAGACATAAAGAATACTTAATGTGTAGGCACCTAACAACAGATCATAAAAACATGGAAAGCAAAACTGCAAGGAGAAATAGATGATTTCATTATTACAGTTGGAGACTTCAAAATCCCTCTATCAGAAATGGACTGATCCAGAAGGTAGAAAATAAGTAAGGACATTGTTGAACCCAATAACACCATCAAGCAACTGGACATATAAACACATACAGTCAAGTTCATACCACAAAAGCTGAAATAGCTTGGATACTGAAGATTCATGTGTCAACATCTTGGTGCTACTGTAAATCAGTGGAATCTTTAGGAGGTAGGGCTAGTGGGAGATCTTCCAGCCATTGCGGGTGTGCCTTTGAAGGGGACAGAGGGACTCCAGACCCTCTCTCATTCTCTTTTACTTCCTGGCTATGAGGTAAGCCATTTTCTCAGCCCTGTGATCCCTAACATTGCCATCCAGCACCTCCACCAGAGGCCTAGAAGCAATGGATCTGTCCCATCATGGACTGGAAGCTTTAGAACCATGACCCCAAAATAAACCTTTTCTCTTTATAAGTTAATTGTCTCAGATATTTTGTTATAGGGACAGAGAATACACATTCTCTTGAGCTCATATAGATTATTCTCTAAGATACAGCACATTCTGGGCCATAAAACACACCTTAACAAAAGAATAAAAATTGTTACACAGCTGTCAGACCATGATGGGATTCAGCTAAAAATCAGAGAAAACAGCTAGAGAATCCAGAAAGACTCGGCAATTAAACTGCACAATTCTAAATAATGCCTGGACTGAAGAAGAAATCTCAAGAGAAACTAAAAAATATTTTAACTAAATGAAAAGAAAGATACAGCTTATCAAAATTTGTGGTATTCAGTGAAAACAGTGTGGAAAGGTAAATATTTAGCATTGAATGTATATATTAGAAGAGAAGAAAAATTTAAAAATCAATAATCTAAGCTTCTACTTTAAGAAACTAAAAAAGAGAAAATCAAAGTAAATCCAAAGTAAACAGACTACAATTAAATAACAAAAATTGGAGCAGAAAGCAATGAAATTGAAAATAGGAAATCAATAGAGAAAATCAACATAAATAAAATCTTGTTCTCTGAAAAGATCAATAAAATCAATAAGCCTTACTCAGGCTAACTAAAGCTTACGCCTGGGATGAGACCTAGATTTTTGCCTCCTATTTGAATCAGTGAACAATTACTTATGCCAGACAAGTAGGCAAAAACACTAATATCATTTCCTTTCTTTCATGAATTCAATCAATTAAAAAATAAAATAAACCAAGCAACTATACTATTAGCCATTCATGGTTCTAAGTGCCTAGGGTTTGTCTGTAAACAACAAACACAATAAGTAAGTAAATGTACAGCACATTAGAAAGTCCGAAGTGGGAAAAAACTCAATAGGTTAAGAAGATTAGGAGGTGTGTTTGTTATTTTGTGGTAATATTATCTTCTTTCATATCCCTTTATTATATGATAAAAGATGTATTGATAATACTTAACTTTATATCACAGTATTTAAGTTCTGAAGGAAACTTAAATATATGAAGGAAAAGAGTGATCACCAAGGACTTTGCCTCCTTTTCTGGGAATGGGTTGGCATGGTTTCCATTGTATGTAGGATAACCATATCATGCAAGGCAGAAGTATGACCTTGAGACTGACTATATTATTTGGAGACAGAATATGGCTTCAGGAAACATGTAGGGGTAGGAAGTTGACAAGGGCTAAACTTGTATGTTTCATATGTCAACTTGGCTAGGTCATGATAAGCAATTATAAAGCAAACACTAACCTACATGTTCCTATGAAGGTATCTCATAGATATGATTAACATCTATCATCACTTGACTTTCAGGGGAGAAAGAATATCACCTGCCATCTGAGCATGTCTCATCTAATCATTTGAAAGGCCAGAAGTAGCAGAACTGGGTTTTCCTGAGGAAGAAGGAATTCACCTATAAATATTCCACTGGCTTCTTCTCTGATAGAACCCTGACTAGTACAGGTGCTACATAGAGGAAACGACATTTTGGCAAAGGCTTGCAAAAAAAGGAGAAGTCATGCAGACATCTGTGGGAGGAGTAAGGCCAATGTGTAGACAAAGAATAGCAAGAAGGCCAGTGTGGCAGGATGAGAGTAAGCAAGGGAAAAGAAGCCAGAGAGAAGGTCACTTATTAACCACAATAAGACGCAGGGAAAGTACAGACTGTGAGTTGAAATGCCTCTTTCAGCATCTATTATAAACTGGGCCCACAACATGACCAAAAAAAAATCATACTGCCATTATTCTAATGTAGTTCTCTCTAACATCATATAAATGAATACTCATCCCACTGTTGGCCAAAGCTCCTGGCTGCTGCAAGGAGGTCTAACGTAGTTCACTCGCTGCCATTCACTCCACACATGCAGAGCACCTGCTGTGGCCATGTCATGTCAGGAGTTCTTCCCTGAGCAATCTGGGGGCCAGAAGTCAGGTCAGAAAAGGCTGCACCACCCAACCATGCATCAAGGCCTGACTAGGAATCCCCAGGCAGAAGGACAGATATATACATAAGGGTAAGATGAAGGTTCTCTGTGTGAAGGATTTAAAACCCCTAAGTGGTTCCACCCAGGTCTCATTTGAAAAATGAAGACTAGGTACCAACAATGGCAAATTATAGTGATGGCTCATCAAACACCTTCTCCAGGCTTCCCAGACTCTCGCTGGTCCCAGCAAACAAGGAAAATAACACCACCACAAAGTTTCCTTTCTCCAAATGTTATCAAAACAACCATTTTAGGGGCTGGGGCTGTATCCCAGTGGCAGAGTGCTTGCCTAGCACGTGTAAGGCATTGGGTTGGATCCTTAGCACCACAAAAAAATGAACAAATAAAATAAAGACATGCTGTCCATCTACAACTACAAAAAAAAATAAAAACGATGATTTTAAGTATATTTATTAACCTGGAAAGAGGTTATTGATTATATAAAGTGAAGAAAAGATACCATGACCTCATTCAATGTGCACATTGATTTTCAGATGCATTTCAATACCGTAAGCATTAACATGTGAAAAAAAATTTCTTTGTCCTTAGGCAATAGGATATACTCAAAGAAAAGAGATAAATGTGCACACACACACACACACACAAATGTAACAATGCTATGAGGTCAGTGAGGTTACAGGTAGCTTTTATTTTCTTCTTTTTTGATTATTATATCTTCTTTTCCTATAATAGCATAAGTATTGCTCAAATAACAACTATAATAATAACATCAGGTGGTTTATAAGTTAAAACTCTTTCATGAATATGGAAATACTTCTACCTCCTTTTTTCTGCCTTCAAAAATGTTGACATTTATAAAAAAAAATTGACAACTATCATCTCATGTGATATCAGCCATCTCTGGGCTGGTTTTACATATGAGAAAGTAGGAAGCTCAAACAAGTGAGGTCACTTACCCAAAGTCACACATTGTGTAGCCTAACCACAATAAAATTCTGGGAGTTCCAAAGGTCCCCCTCCAAGCCAGCACACTAGCTTTGTGCTATTTCTTTAGCCCAGACACCCCTAAGAAGTGTGACTAGAGAAGAGTTCCCACTGCCCTTACCTCTGCCAGGCGGGAGTGCTTGTGGACGTTCTCACCCTTTTGCACACTGGGAGCCAGCTGCTGCAGGACACCCCTGCTGCTTGTCAGTGCTCTGGTCAGCCGAGCAAACTTCCCCCAGCCTGAACATGTGAAAGAGCAAAAAGACAGGCTCAGCCATGTCCTTCAGGAGCACAGACATTCACATCACCAGTGACACTGTCAGAAACACACCCACAATGTCCTCTGAAATCCCATGAGTCACTCTTCATCCCTGCAAGCAAGACTGGCTGCTCCTAAATGCACCTTGACATTCTCAGACTTGTGTAGCAATTCACTTTTACCATGAATTTTCACCTCATCCTAATCACAAGTTTGAGAAGTTGCTAAGGTAGGTCTTAATACCTTTCTCAAATGGGGGAAAAAAATGACACAGGGCACCCAGACAATGAGAAAGAATAGAATTCAGATCTCTCCACTCTGGCCCAAGGCTTTTCCACCAGCTCACATCAGGCCTTCCAGAAGTTTCTCTGACTTGGCAGATTGGCTCAGCCTGTTCCAATCTCCATACTGTCTAATCTTGAAAAAAAACGGAACTGATTTGGGCTTTTACATGAGCAAGTGAATCATAAGGTCATTCCATGATCTTCTCCAAGACCAGGGGAATAAAAAACGAATTCAACTCCTGAGTAGGTGGGGAAAAAACACTGACCAGTTTTAGCCAGCTGGGGGAAGAAGGAAGGAGGGTCAATGACAGGTCTTTTCCGAAAATCTGTCACTGATCATTGCAATCTGAGGCCCCCAAAGATAACCATTCATTCTAAGACCCGGCAATCCATCTGTATTAAGGTCATAACCATGGCAGTTGTCCCGTGAGACCTCTGAAAGCCTGTCAGAGATCTCAAGACTAAGCCTGAGTTTCAGGAGCTCCAAAAACCCAGATGTGTGATGTACAGCAAGTAAACAGAGCATGCGACTATTTTTACAAGACAGCTAAAAGCACAACTAGGCTTTTTTTTTTTTTTTAAGAGTTTAGAAACATTCAGCACCTTCCAGCAGAAATCTCACTTTCCAAATTTTACCCTGGAGTGCCTTTCCAAGACAGAATTCAGATGACAATGGAATTAAGGAGAAGAATGGTTTTTAAGAATCATGATCTGGGTAAATGTTTGCCAATGTGTAGCAAGATAACTAAATCAACTTTTTTTTTTTTAAATCTCATTCCAGAAGTACTGGGTTTTTTTTTTTTTTTTTTTTTTTTTTAATTTTTTTTTATTGGTTGTTCAAAACATTATAAAGCTCTTCACATATCATATTTCATACATTAGATTCAAGTTGGTTATGAACTCCCAATTTTACCCCAAATACAGATTGCAGAATCACATCGGTTACACATCCACATTTTTACATAATGCCCTATTAGTAACTGTTGTATTCTGCTACCTTTCCTATCCTCTACCATCCCCCCTCCCTCCCCTCCCATCTTCTCTCTCTACCCCATCCACTGTAATTCATATCTCTCCTTGTTTATTTTCCCATTCCCCTCACAACCTCTTATATGTAATTTTGTATAACAATGAGGGTCTCCCTCCATTACCATGCAATTTCCCTTTTCTCTCCCTTTCCATCCCACCTCATGTATCTGTTTAATGTTAATCTTTTCTTCCTGCTCTTCCTCCCTGCTCTGTTCTTAGTTGCTCTCCTTATATCAAAGAAGACATTTGGTATTTGTTTTTTAGGGATTGGCTAGCTTCACTAAGCATAATCTGCTCTAGTGCCATCCATTTCCCTGCAAATTCTATGATTTTGTCATTTTTTAGTGCTGCGTAATACTCCATGGTGTATAAATGCCACATTTTTTTTATCCATTCATCTATTGAAGGGCATCTGGGTTGGTTACTGGGTTTTAATAAAAGCTTCCATCTACTCTGAGGCCATGAGGCAGAAATGGAGGACTCCTAGTGTCACTTTGAAAAGAGTTGCATAGCAGTTGCTAACAGGAGAGGACAGCCCAAACTCTGCAGGGGTCTATGACATCTCTCCCAAATGTGCCATTTATTAATGCTCTCCTGGAACTGTGCTTGTGGGAAGCATGGACTAGGAATTTTTTAAAAATCTCTTTCAGAGTCAAGCTCTCTTTCAGCTCAAAATGAAGTTGGAACTGAGTTCTTCAAAGCTTTTCAGGAAGAGAAGAAAGTAGAGGGGGCGGAGCGGAGCCGCCACCCGCACCCGCAAGGTGGGCAGACCCGCCACCCAGTGGTACATGGGCGTGGTAGGAGGGGCAGGGCAGAGCCGCCGTTCGCGCTTGCAAGGTAAACAGACCTGTGACAGCCTGGCGGGTGAGGCCCAGTGGCCTGCAGTGTGGTACACACGTCACCCCAACTGGAGTAGGGGCAGAGCAGATCCTTCTCCCACGCCCGGATCAGGCCCTGCCGGTGTGGTGGCCACGTGACCCCAATTGGACTGGGGGCGGAGCGGAACCGCCACCCGTGCCCGCAGGGTGAGCAGACCTGTGACCAACCTGCAGATCAGGCCCAGGGGTCCGCAGGCGTGGTAGGAGGGGCAGGGCAGATCCACCGCCCGCGCCTCCAAGGTAGGCAGACCTGCGACAGACCAGCGGATCAGGCACGGTGGCCTGCCGGCGTGGTACACTCGTTACCCCAATTGGAGTAGGGGCAGAACAGAGCCGCCACCAGCGCCCAGAACAGGCCCAGTGACCTGCCGGCATGGTAGCCACGACACCCCAATTGGAATAAGGAGAGAGCAGAGCCGCCGCCCGCACCTGCAGGAAAGATACGCAAGCAGTATGAAAAGACAAGGAAACAAAGGACCACAAGCAATGCAGGTCAACGCAACTTTAGAAGAAGTAACAGCTGCAGCAGATGGAATGTCAGATAAAGAATTCAGGATATACATGCTTCAGATGATCTGGAGTATCAAGGAAGACATTAAACAGCAAAATCAGACAATGAAAGATCACTTCGACAATGAATTACGCAAACAAATCCAGGAAGCAAAGGATCAACTATACAGGGAGATAGAGGTTATAAAAAACAAACAAACAGAAATCCTAGAAATGCAGGAAGCAATAAACCAACTTAAAAACTCAATGGAGAATACTACCAGCAGAGTAGAACACTTAGAAGATAGAACATCAGACAATGAAGACAAAGTATTTCAACTGGAAAAGAACATAGACAGCTCAGCAAGACTGTTAAGAAACCATGAGCAGAACATCCAAGAAATATGGGATAACATTAAGAGACCAAACTTAAGAGTCATTGGGATACAGGAAGGTACAGAGCTCCAAACCAAAGGAATGAGCAGTCTATTCAATGAAATAATACGAGAAAACTTCCCAGACTTGAAGAATGAGACAGAATCCCAAATCCTAGAAGCCTACAGGACGCCGAATGTGCAAAATCATAAGAGATCCACACCTAGACACATAATAATGAAGATGCCCAACATACAGAATAAGGAGAGAATTTTAAAAGCTACAAGAGAAAGGAAGCAGATCACATTTAGGGGTAAGCCAATCAGGATAACAGCTGATCTTTCAACACAGACTCTGAAAGCTAGAAGATCCTGGAATAACATATTTCAAACACTGAAAGAAACTGGGTTCCAACCAAGAATTGTGTATCCAGCGAAATTAAGCTTCAGGATGGAAGATGAAATTAAAACCTTCCACGATAAACAAAAGTTTAAAGAATTCGCAGCTAGAAAACCATCTCTTCAAAACATCCTCGCCAAAGCATTACAGGAAGAGGAAATGGAAAATAACAATGAAAACCAACAGTGGGAGGTAGGACAGTAAAGGGGGGGGGAAAATAATCAAAGAGGAAAACAAACCATGTTTAGTAACAGAAATAAACAAATATGGCTGGAAGAACAACCCATATCTCAATAATAACCCTAAATGTTAATGGCTTAAACTCACCAATTAAGAGACACAGACACAGTAGAATGGATCACAAAACAAGACCCAACAATATGCTGCCTACAGGAGATGCATTTGATAGGAAAAGACATACATAGGCTGAAGGTGAAAGGTTGGGAAAAATCATATCACTCATATGGACTTCGGAAACAAGCAGGAGTGTCCATACTCATATCAAATAAAATAGATTTCAAGCCAAAGTTAATCAAAAGGGATAAAGAGGGACACTACATACTGCTTAAGGGAACCATACACCAACAAGACATAATAATCATAAATATTTATGCCCCAAACAATGGTGCAGCTATGTTCGTCAAACAAACTCTTCTCAAGTTCAAGAGTCTAATAGACCACCATACCATAATCATGGGAGACTTCAACACACCTCTCTCGCCACTGGACAGATCTTCCAAACAAAAGTTGAATAAGGAAACTATAGAACTCAATAACACTATTAATAACCTAGACCTAATTGACATATATAGAGTATACCACCCAACATCAAGCAGTTACACTTTTTTCTCAGCAGCACATGGATCCTGCTCAAAAATAGATCATATATTATGTCACAGGGCAACTCTTAGACAATATAAAGGAGTAGGGATAATACCATGCATCTTATCTGATCATAATGGAATGAAACTGAAAATCAACGATAAAAGAAGGAAGGAAAAAGCATACATCACTTGGAGAATGAACAATAGGTTACTGAATGATCAATGGGTTATAGAAGACATCAAGGAGGAAATTAAAAAATTCTTAGAGATAAATGAAAACACAGACACAACATATCGGAATCTATGGGACACATTGAAAGCAGTTCTAAGAGGAAAATTCATTGCTTGGAGTTCATTCCTTAAAAAAAAAGAAAAAACCAACAAATAAATGATCTCATACTTCATCTCAAAATCCTTGAAAAAGAAGAGCAAAACAACAGCAAAAGAAGTAGAAGGCAAGAAATAATTAAAATCAGAGCTGAAATTAATGAAATCGAAACAAAAGAAACAATTGAAAAAATTGACAAAACTAAAAGTTGGTTCTTTGAAAAAATAAACAAGATCGACAGACCCTTAGCGATGCTAGCGAAGAGAAGAAGAGAGAGAACTCAAATTACTAGCATACGGGATGAAAAAGGCAATATCACAACAGACACTTCAGAAATACAGAAGATAATCAAAAACTATTTTGAATCCTTATACT